AGTACGAAACAAGCATCGCTTTTGCACCGAGCGAAAATATTACGCGGCAACTGTAACATTCGATTTCCGTTCGTCTGCAATGAAAACATTGAGATCGGAAATAAAATGCTATATACTAATAACGAGACAGCTATTCGCCGAATATATCGCAATAGCTTTTTTATAAAATATACATCGAGCGAAAGGAAGAATATATATCTCTCGTAAGGGATGTAAATATTTTCGGTTTTAATCCCCCCTCCCCTGTTAATTTTTAACGTGCGCTTTTATTACTTGGATAAAATAAATATTCGGTATATGAATCTTGCTAAGTACATATTTAGCATTTGTTAGCAGTATTTAGCTTAAAATATCGTCGTATGCTAAATACCTATGGAGAGTATATAGTCGTATCTCATGAGACAGTATGCGACAACCTTAATTCACACATGTGCACTTATTATGTATGTATAACCCATAACAATGAGATATATCATTTGGATTGTGCGAATGTATTCAACAATTTGCGTTTTTGTTGATGGCTACATATCGACTTAGCGAACCTCAACACGGGTGCATACGAGAATTTATATTCGCGCTGAAAGAAATGTTGTATGTGAAATTCAAGCAAATTTGCATACACGAGAAAATCCAAAATCAAAAACCAAGAACTTTTAAATAAAAAATTGTACAATGTAGCCATCACATAACAGGGATACTGCTATTCTTATTAAATAACAACTTGACAATTATTAATAATATCAGAAAAATACAAAAATTGACCATAGAATTGAATGGTATATACTTAATAGAATACACTCATAGTATTTATCATCAAGTGAAGAGAGAGGTTTGATTATTATTTAATAAAAAATATGTTTGTATGATCATTATATCAAATATCTATATAATATAATAGATATGTCAACGGGTCTATAACCGCTGTAACCTCTTTATCGGTGTGAAAATAACGATCGGTATAACGACTACCATGTGCGAAGCATGTAATTTTAAGGGGAAATGAAGACATGCGTTTATAATTCGTTGCTGGCAGGCAACGAGCGAGTGAACGAGATAACGAGACTCATTGTCTCATTAACAGTCGTACTTGTTTTCAAAGAAAATCTTCGCTCGAGTTTTCTCATTCTACATACGATCTTGCGCCGCGTCATGGATGGCAAATGAATCTTCCCTCTGTACGCGGCGGGCGACGTTTGTAATTTTAGTTAGTCGTCGACAATTAGCGTAATTTCGGTATTTAAAAGACACATTATTTTTTTTTTGTGACACGTTCATATTTTATCACGTGTTTCTCGTCGTTGGCGCGCGTAACATGACTGTGGTGTACGGGCACGGTCATTTTAATCGATAAGCCGGGATATTAGCGATATTAGCGCACTTTTCTCTTTTTTTTTCCTCGCGGAGGGACCACTCATCTCTCCCTTTCTCTACATGATCGTAGCAATCTTATAAAATTTATGATAATTTCCGGTTACACGGTGACCTTTCTCTCGGCTCGTTCTCGGCTCTCAGTGGGCCACGGTTACATAATTTTTCATCGCTATGGCGTCGCGCTAATGTGCGTAGTAATTCTTTGACTTTACTGGTACGCGAATAACGTCACGAGGTAACGCTGAGAAACTGATGTTATACAATACGTATTATGTACTATGAGTTTAAATTAATTTTAAGCCGACATATTACACATGTACACACTTCGTACTTTTTGCTAATTAAAATCAGCTTAACGAGGAATGTAGTTCAAAGATTATACACATATGAAACGGATAATATTATTTTTTATATTAAAAAAGCTGAAGTAAATTGCAAAAGGCATGAACCTTTTAATAATATCGTTAAGGTAAATATGTAAAATGCAATTTGTAAAAGAATATAAATATAAAAATGCAGCACAAGGAGAGAGATTATACGAACTATTATCCCCTTTAACAGAGTAGAGATAACCGCTAACTACCCCGTGCGGGATCGCATTTAAGAATGGTATCACGTTCCATAACTACCTAGTATACTACATATAAACATATGCTCAGGAAGAGGGGAGGGTGAGAATAACCAGATAGGCGTACCAAATAACGTACGTACTTATCTGAAACCATGTACTTTTCAGTGACAAGGGGATATGATTTATTGCCTACAAGCTTGCTACAATGACTCCGGTACGTGTTAAACTGACCACGTTCATCATTAAAATTAATGGGTATTGGATACTGCCCGGGGTAAGCGAAAGGAGAGAGGCAGAACGACTAAAAGTGTCGGGGAGTCCGATATAGCCGAGGAAAGCGTTGTTATTGTTCCAGTATTTGATATTTTGTAGTATTTCGTAATAATCATCGGAGGAACGAAATATCGATTTTCTTCGCGATTTTTTTTATTTTTGTTAATAAATAATTAAATGAATTTTTACACATTAATGTTAACAGATTTATCCGCATTTATTAATTTAATATACAAGGAATGTATTCTATTATATATAATCTGCGCATTCCATCTCGAAAACTGTAATTTTATAAATCTATGTAACCAACGGTCTCTCCGAGAATGATGATGTCCAGCGCATGCAGTAGTTACGTGCATTTTCACGTGTTCTGTAATTGTTCTGGGGTGTCTATTGTGCGGATGAGTGTTAAGTCTGCAGCCCGACATCCATTAAAATTAATGGGGATTGGGATAACGGGGACAGTCAGGCATGATACCGAGCGCGAAGTGAAGTGATGCATCATTCACAAAGAAACAATGTGAATAATTCGATAATCGCATTATAATAATTCATACGTTACAATATACGCATTATTGTTAAAGCGATGATTATAATATTCCGATTAGAATGTTAATGCACGCTCGATATTCATAGTATTCAGCATTAAATTTAATCAATCATTTTTCCATATAGAGCTATACTTGCTCGATATCAAATTCAGATTTGACATATTACGTTCTTAGACACCTATTTAGATATACTAGTGCTTTATGTGTGCTTAGGACATTTTTATTTTTCTAGTATCTGTAATTCTAGCATCTGGATTTGTATGTATTTCAAAGTACCGCGATAATGGCTATCGCTGGTCAGGTGCACATGCAGTAATCGCTTACAATCAATTCTATTTTGTGGAAATAAATGGTATTATAGTAATCGATCCGATTTACAGTCAAAAGCGAGACTAGTGGCATTGCATTCGATCAATTTATCTATTTGTACATTTACAATGCCTTTATTGCGGTATAGAATCGCATTACCTATTGGCAGCGTAACAGAATATAATCGTATAAAAATTTCTTTCTTCTTTTTCCAGATGTCGACGAGAGAAGAATGTGATCGAGCACGCAGGCTCGCCGAGCAAACCAATCGTCTATCATCGATGGCCTTTGCGGGGAACGATAGATTGCGTTATCGTTAATGACATTTCGCGGCCAGTTTTCGCGGCCAGCTTTCCCAGCCGTCGAAGAATATGAGGTCGGCGGCGAGACAAGAAGGCAGGTCAGGCAAATCGATCTGTCGGCGACACGTAACGCACAGCTAAGTAACACGTTAAAACCCCGCGAGCGTCCCGACTATGCTTTCAGCATATTTGCATAGGATTCTCCTCTCTCTGATGGTGCGGCAGCCAGCTACCTATCCATGGTACACACCCGCCGAACGTTACGTAGCTACGCAAAATGACAGCGCTACCATTACGAATACCCGGAATGGTCGGGATATTTAATCGGTATTCCGATTACGCCTATGCACATCGGAGCGTATCTTCGAATCGCGTCCGGCCGATACGCTGCATATAGAACGAGCCTGGCGATCCTTAAAGCGATGGAGATCAGACCTCTCGTCGACTTATGTCAAATATGTGACATGAATCACCGATTTGAAGGAAAATTTCAGTAGCGATTTTTATGTCATGCACATGTCTGTATATATATGTATATATATATATATATATATATATATATATATATATATATATATTTATTTATTTATGTTTTTTACAACAAAATTGAAGCAATATTACGATTGCACCATTATTACGCTCATTCTTGAGAAAAACATTGCTTTTACGTTCGAAGTTACGCTGCGTTCGCGATGTAAGATTAAAATATTATTGTCAAAGATTATCGATGACAGACAAAACAAATTCGCTTTGTAGATCCTTACTCTTTGTAGCTTATTCTCAATTTGAAAAACAATTCATGAAGTAATATCGTGTGTTGGAGCAAAAAATGTTTGATCAAAGACATAAAAAGTTTCATTAAAACTTCTTTGATCGTTGAAACAAGTAAAAAAAGGTATGCTGCCAATTATGCACTCCAGTTACGCAATGACCTACTGATTGTTAAGATTAAAATGTTGCAATTACGCAACAGAAGTAATAAATTTTAATTTTACGCGAAAACACTGCCATTATGCGCTAACACATAGACTACATCCATTTTTATTTTAATTATATTTCATATAACTGTTGTTATCAATATTTTAGCATCAAATATTGTCTATTTTATCTTTTTTACGCTTATAAAAGTGTACAAAGATCTTAAAATCCTATTTTTTTTAAATGAAGATGCATAAAGCGAATTAAAAAAAGAGAGGCGCACATAGAGTCGCGTATATCGTAATCGTCTACGTCGTAGCTTCACATAATATGGAAAGCATTCGTACATATCCAACAAGAGTTGGATTCTAAAGTAGGAAAAGTTCCCGAGTTTTCTTGAATTTTCATTACGTACCATCCGGGAGCAAGGTGGAAAGGTCTCTAAAGGGGAGTCACGGTAACATCAGAAGCACAAGCGCCTCAGGTTCTATCTCTGCAGCGCGTAATTCGAGCTCCTGCCCGCCGTTCGATTATAATTTCATTTGCACGGAAACTCTCACGATTAATGTGGCGGTGCCAACCTATTCCCTCTAATTAAATCCTATGTACCAACCGAGGTATTACGTCTAATTTTAGAATCGGGCACCAAACTCGGGTATCGAAGATATGTACGCAGTGACGGTACGAGAATCGAATGAGACTCACCTCAGTTCGATGCCTTGGCTACGCTTGTCATTTATGCTAACGATCACGTCGCGTGGCTGTATCTTCTTATCACCGTTGCACTTCGGGGTAGTCACTTTGCCGCGCGAGTGTACGTCAGGCACAGACGACTACTACGTACGTTCACACATGTACACCTTGCCTGACGATGATGATGCGGTGACACCCGCTGATGATGAGATCAACGTCTATCTCTATCTATTTCTCCCTCTCTTTATTTCTTTCCGTCTTTCTGCGTATTCATGCGATTCGATTCACTGCAACGTGAGAGTTCCGCTCGGAGCACCGATGTGCATACATACGAGCAAACTCGGAGTTAAGTCAGTCACCTATCGTTGCAACTTTCGTCGCACACTGCTGCACTGTCACGGTTCCGCTGCTTTTCTAGCTCGTCGTTTTGGCGAATCCACGGCGATCTTAATCTCTCAATTTCTCGCGAGCGCGCACATCAGCGTGACTACCACAACGCGACTAAATCGGAAACACGGAACTCTTGAAACGAATTTACGTAAATTCAAAACACAACCGTAAGGTCCGTAAAGTTTCACACGATTTGACGCGAGAACGTCAGTCTAATGTCTCTCTAATTCGCGAACGAGCGACACGTCGAGATGTTTAATAGTTTAAATTTCGGAGATTCTGCCGTCGAAGGCGCATAGTTTCTTAGACGCGTATTTGATCGCGATCACACGCTCGGCTTCGCGAAATTGTTCTCTCACCTTCGTAGAACGCGAGACATCACTCGCACGACGCGAGGCGAACAAGCGTCCAGCTGATCCACGCCGAAAGGAGAAAGGGGTAGGAATGCGTGGGATAGAGCTACGAGTCTCGCGACAACGTGCGTGTTTACCCGCGCGACGACGTAAACACTCCGCACGAAAGCACTCGACTGCTCGGCAGGGGTGGCTGAGCGGCACAGTTCGGTTGCTCGCGCAGTAGCTTGGTAACGCGGCGCAACAGTGCGCAAGTTGTGCTTTTGTGCGGCGAATGCGGACTCCGGTACGGGGGCTAGCACCTATGATCTCGCTCTCTCTATCTTTCCCTCTTTCTTTCTCTCAATCTCCCCTTTCCTTTTTCCCTCTGCACTTTTCGTGCTTTCCGCCCTTTTGTCTTTTTTTTTTTTATTTTTTCTTCCTTTCTTTTGTATGCCACCGTTTTCACCCCTTTTCGCTCTCTAGTCGCGTTTTCTTTCCCTCGCTTTTCTACTCTCCCACCGATTCTCTCCTACACCCTTTCTCTCCGTCTCACCAACCGACTAACTGACTGTCGTCCGTCTGTCTACCTGCGCCGCGGAAGAGCGGCCACGGTGAATCGCGAAAAGTAACTGGCGAGCCGGCCGACCCCGATTGGCTCGAGTCTGCGCCCTAGCGACAACTCGGGTACACCGGATATAAAATATAGACGCCTAGTGTGTACGTATACCTACGCGCCGCTCTGCGCGGTACGCGGCAACACGGGGGTTGAAAAGGAGGAAACTCTCCTCTCCCTACGACCCCCACTGGGTCTCGTCCTCCCCGTTACCTGGTCTCCTCTTATTCTATTTTCACTCACTGTACCAGTAGTCTCTCTCTCTCTCTCTCTCTCTCTCTCTTTCTCTGTCTTTCCTCGTCCCTCGTATTCGTTCACTACGCGCTTCATATTCTCTCCTTCCTCTCTTCGTCTCCTTCTCTGTCTCTGCGCGTTCTCTCATGTCGTCTCTTCGCTTCCCTCTCGCTTCACTCATCTTGTTCTCTCTCTCTCTCTCTCTCTATCCTCCTCTTTACTTGCTTCATTCGTGACTATGCGTCTTGTATCGCCTGCCGCAGCGGCGCCGATATTCTGTTGCTAGTACGTTGTAACTGCTGATGAAACCTCAAGGTGCATACGTATCTGCATGCGAAAGAAAAGGACGCAGGACGCATGAAACACGAAGGCGAATATTTGTCTTAATTCAGGATACACATTAAATGGATACTGAAATTACATTGTCTTGCAAAAGCATCGTTAATAACATTAACTGCCTCGTTGGAGATGCCTTCGCGATAAAAAATAAATATGACATTTTTCTAAGCATTTGTGTGCATATTTTTATCGCTGCAGGTCACGTGGATTATTATCACATATATCACAGGTAAGGTAAAATATAAGTAATGTGTGGCAAATATACTCCTAAAACGATGATTAAATTTGGTGAATGTTCTTCCTAGCTACGTATTTTAAGTTAAAGTCTACATTGCCTATTTAGGGACTAATTGCGCGCTTGTTTCTTCACGGGAAATTACCTTGCGCTTAGACGGTATATCGATTTAGTGATACTATATATACGTGTATAATGACAATGTACATTAAGTATATGTATGTATTATACTTACATATATATATTTACTTATATATATATTTTTTTTAATTGGCTATAAAAATATTGTGAAAATAAAGATATTTAGAATGTGTAACTTTCTTTAATAAGCAGTTTAAAATGATATATCTATTTATATTGCACATAGATTCGTAATGTATGCTAGTCCAAGCTGAAATGCGCTGTTATGATAATATTTCTGAATACAAAAAATTTTATGTCATGTTTTCGTTAAAATCACCAGTTACGTCTCACTATATTGTTTCCGTTGTGTTTTCAAGAAAAGAATAACGATTTTTCAAAATAATTAGATGAAAAACACTGTCAGTAAAGTATGGGAATAAATCATATCTCATTAAGCAAATGTATTTATTTAACAATTTGTTATCTACTATTATCGCAATTAATAAAAGCATCTCACCTGGGGCGATAAATTATATATTAGCATATATGAGTTGTTTTAATTTTGTATCATGCGATTTTTCAAAATTTGCATAATCATATTAATGCGCTGCTGTTCTGCCGACAAATATCAACAGAATTTTTTATAGTTTTCTATATCGACTATCATATATATTATTGATTTCTAGAATGTTCCATATTTTTGAGTTAAACTATATAATTATGTAATATAATTACCTACTACTTTATTTGTGTATAATTAAATCCATATTCTATCGACAGTTATTTAATTAATTTAATTATAGATTATCGAAATATTGATTTCATCATATGTTACAAATTTTTGGAGCTATTTAAAATATAACAATCCGTTATCTTATTTTTATAAATTAAATTCGCGATCACCGATATTTATAATTGATGAAACTTGACACTTTTTTGATTTAAAAAGATTGCATCCTCAATATAAGATATCCTTAATATATTATATTATATTATATTATATTATATTATATTATATTATATTGTTATTCAAGAATAGAAATAGCAAGAATAGAAATAGTTTTACAAAGTTTGCCACAAAATCCAGTGTCTTAAAATATAGCGATAAAAATTTTAAAATTGGACAAGTCTATCGCTAGCCTAATTATTCATTAGATGAGTAATGTGATTCGAACGTTATCCTAACAATAGCTAAAAATTTGGTAGCGCCTATTATAGCTGTTTGTATAATAGATTTGTTTTTACGGCTGCTTTAATCAGACACGATAACAGATTTTAAGACCCCGTGATTTTGTCTGAATTATACATATCGTCTATATTAAATTATACTCGGCCTGCGTCACCATTACAGTTTGTCGCTCAACAAAGTAGATGTGCGAAACTATTTCTGTCGGATCATTACCGTTATTTAATGGGCGCGAAACCACGCAGAATTCATACGTTAGCAAAACAACTATGTGACACTTTGCATAACACGTCCTGATGATGTTTACCCGCGCAAACTCTTGCATTATTCGCTGCCGCATCAAACGATTTTGATAATTATACTTGATTTATATACTTATCGAATTTTTCTTCAAGATATTTCTATATAAAATACATCTTGTAACATTTTTGTTGAAAAATAATATAAATAAAAAAATGAACATGTATTCTATAATATTGTTATACAAATTATCCTTCTTATTTAAATACAAAACACGAGCATCAACTTATTATGTATTATGTGTAACATTATGTAGACACACGTAGACGCGCTTTTTCCCCTAACCCAGAGAAAGAAACAGTGCTCTCACGCAGATGCGAATCTACTCAAGTATTCTCGGGGGCAGAGATAGTGTTGATCATAAATAAACGATTGTAATCCTTCATTCAATCGTCCGTGCTCCACGCTCGGTGTAACGTAAGTATTTTATTTATATATATTTTATATTGTTTTGCATACAGAAGCAAGTAGCGAATGTTATATACACGCTTGCGTTACCAAGCTTGCGGATTCCAAGAGCTACGCCGCCGCACTTGTATAACGGCTTGTACTACTGCGAAAGATCGGCTGCGGATGTAATATCTATCACGCTAGTCATAGAAGATAGCGCCTTACCAGAAGCAGCAGTACATCTTCCGCTAATTAGCATTCATCTAGCCGCGGTGAGCGCCGCGTAACGCGAATACGTTAATTCCGCCAACTTACTATCGCGTTAGCTTTGCCCCTTTGCTGTTTCGCCGAACCGTATTCCTCGATCACACAATGTAAACGGAGCGCCAGCATCATTTCGATGCATCGAGTCTCGTGCCCGGAGAACAGCCTCCGTGCGTAACAGGAACAGACGTGTTCGTCGTGATAACCTGCCTCTAGGACGTATGGAATTACTCGATAAGCTCGCGTTCTCCACCAGGCCGGAGCCAATTCTAGATTGCGCGGGGGAAAACATCCCTATGCTGTCAGCGTTTCCCGAGAGAATTTAGAGTAAACAACATGACTAATGATAATGGTGATGCCCCAGTGTAATTTTATAAGATTAAATCATGCCGATAAATGTTTCTACAATGAAGCACAGTTAGTTATCTATATCTATCATATAATAATTAGAAATATATTTATTTGTTGATTATTTTTTTATAATGTTAAATTAATATTATTATTATTATCAATATTTAATCATTAAAATGTATCAGAGATTATAATATAAAAATATTCTATCATTTTTACTATATACATACATATGTGTTCAAATCAAACAGAGACTGAGATTTTTTGGATGGAACAATAATCTGTAGTACACGTTTCAGTGAAATGTATCATATGCTATACATTTTTATATTATATACATATTGCATATTATTTTGGCTTTCATCATTTATTAATTGCTAATCTCTACATAGTGATATAAAAGATTTATATTTTTCATTTAAAATTCCTAATACAAATTTTAAAGTTTGATAATGTACATAAGATTTTCAATTTTATCACATTAACGTAATCATTTCTTATCCTTTCATCTTATATTCTTAATTCTTAATTTAAATCTTAATTTAATAACATCTAAATTTTTCGCTGAAAAGAAATTATCTTTTCGACTAATATTTAAACTTGAAGAAATATGAGATCGTGGAATTACTTTTGCGATTGTATCAATCTTAATATTAATTTCAATAAGAAACTGCCTCTGTGTGTGTATTTCACACATTGTAATTATTTATCCTTCCTTTTCTTTTACAGCGTATTCGTTACTTATATTAATTACTGTGTATCTTTGCGCAATATCTATTATTTCTGTTTTACCTCGAGATAATTTGCCTCGACGTTACCTCATCCGAATTAGAGTTAACGTGAAATAGCTTGAGCATTTACGACTTGGTTTCTACGAAAGGAAGGTAAATAAAATATACTGTAATTTTCTTTAACGTGAAGGACGATGATGCCTACAACAATCTTTGCAGACATGTGTAAGAATAATATTATATAATATATAGTATAAAATAATTTAATAAGGTTTCGAGACAAAGATATTAATGCACATTTTCTATTATTAGAATCATTTAAGGGACTATAAATATAAAAGAAGATTTACGCGAAAAACAGTAACCTATATAAAAAAATAATAATATATTCACAATTTCTAACTTAAATATTTGCAATTACAAAAAATTATGTATTATATTATGTATTAAATTATGTATTATTCAGAAAATAGCACAAGTCTTATAAATATATCGGAAAGCGGATTTTGTAAAGTTGAATCAGCAAATATGTTACCGTGATAATTAATCAAAGAATGTGCTTTGTAATGCTCAATGCACACAATATTCAATACCCTCTGTTCGTTGAATCTGCTATCTTCGTTAAATTTCGCAGCACGTACTGTAAAGCGACGTGTTTATTATATTCGCGGAATAACTCACCCACCTGTGCGGATTATCCGTATGTAGTTGGAAGAGCTCGCATAATGTTTGAGTGAATGTCTGACCTGACATTTTCATAATACCTCTATTTGGATTGTCATGTTGAAGGAATTTTAGGAGCTAAATGAGAAAAGACAAGCATTCAACTCAGTAATACATATATATGTATAATCAATTAACTTTAATATCTAAGTGATCTCATCTTTTATTGCAAAATTGATTATATATGTAGCTTATATTTAATTATACCCAAATATTATTGGAAAAGAAATTGT